GGGACGAAAGCTAGTTTGAAAAGACTGGATATGGATTATGTGGATTTGATTTATTGTCATAGGCCTGATGCTAGTACACCTATTGAAGAAACTGTTAGGGCTATGAATTATGTGATTGATAAAGGTTGGGCTTTTTATTGGGGAACAAGTGAATGGTCAGCTCAACAGATTACTGAAGCTTGGGGTGTTGCTCAAAGATTGGATCTTGTGGGTCCTATTGTTGAACAGCCTGAGTACAACTTGTTGTCTAGGCACAAGGTATTATCTTTTGACTCTGATTTTGGTATTTCCTTTTGTCAAATGCGAATTCAAGATCTAGAATTAGTCAGTTTAGAATAAATGTGATCTTATGTGTAGAGTCGGTGAGTTTAGAATAAATGTGATCTTATGTGTGAAGTCAATGAGTTCAGAATAAATGTGATCTTATGTGTGAAGTCAATGAGTTCAGAATAAATGTGATCTTAGTGTAAGTCAGTGAGTTCAGAATAAATGTGATCTTATGTGTAGAGTCAATGAGTTCAGAATAAATGTGATCTATGTAGAGTCAGCGAATTCACAATACGTGTGATCTTGTGTGTAGAGTGAGCGAGTTCAGAATAAATGTGATCTTATGTGTAGAGTCAGTGAGTTCAGAATAAAGGTGATCTTATGTATTTTCATATGTATACATAAGTTCGAGCCAGAAACAATGAGTTTGGATTGTTTTGGCACGGAGTTCAAGAAAGAAAGGGATATTTTTAAAATTTGTGATCTAAAACAAATCATAGATATTTGTGTGGTTGTAAATCAATTAATTAAGGGTAAAATAGGAATTCTAAAGATAAATTATTTTAAAGTAAGGAAATGCGACATTCTTTTTGGGCCTAATTAAAAAAAAAAGGGTATCACATTAATTGGGACAGCTAAGTATTTGTTTTTTGTCATATGTGAATTTAGGATCTAGAGTCGGTGAGTTCAAAAATCAATATAAGATAGTCAGACAAGTGAAATGTGAAATATTGAGGAAGTTGGTTAATGGTGATAATACATGACAGGGTGTTTGAGGTAAAATAAGAGATTTTTTTTCTGTATAGGCAATATGGAAGGAGTGGGTTAGTGGTGATAATACATGACTGGGGGTTCGAGGTAAAATAATAGATATTTCTATATAGGCTATACTAATTAGTTGAGGGTTGTCTTTAGTCATGTTAGTACGTTTACTTTAAGTCTTGTGCTTTGTAGGAGTCCTTTGGTTCAGTCAATCGTTTCTTTCTAGGAGTCTTTTAACCCTAGCAGAGATTTGCATACCAGTAAAAAATATAGAGAACTGCTACTACTTTTTATTCTTATTTTGTATAATAGTGGCCTGAGTTGAGTTTTAATGAAGAAATACGGTCCGTGACCCCAAGCCGTTTGGTATTGAGGTCTGAGCATAGTATTAGTTGTTGCTGTTGTATCCTCTAGGTCTCTTTACAGCCAAATATTTTATTTCAAAACTGCATTTTTTTTTGATTTGCACCGGGTGTCCGAGTCTCTTCGAGCCCCGACTAATCCCGGGGGTGCACAGGCCCTCGGCAAGGAGTTTCCCGCAGGTGCACCACGGTTAATTCAGGTTTTAGCCAGTCCGATGGCCCTCGGAAATTGTTTGTACCCAGTGGGTTCAAAACTGCATTCTTTTACAGCTGTACATCTGTTGTGACAGCTTCAGTGTAGGATTTTCAAGGCGTTGCAAGTCTAATTTTGCTATTTATACATGGCCAAAATCCTTCACCCTTTTGTCGTATGAGGAGAAAAGATGTTGTTAGCTGTAGAAACTTCTGTGAACGCCTTGTCTGAGTATGCTATAGGAGGTCTAATATTGTCCGATGTTGCTTTTTCTTCAGGATCTGATTTTGATTTACGCTGCTTTTGTTTGAGTGATTTGGCTTCCAGAATCTTAGTTGCTTGCCATCTTTATGCTGATCACTACATGAATTGTCAGATTTTATCGCATTTGGTCTCTGCCTGTAGCTCCAATGTTAACTTTGCAAAAATGTCGTTCTCTGTATGTACAATTCGTCATTTGTTTTATTTCTAGCAATATGGACCTCATCGAATTGCTGCAGGTTGAATCTGAGTACCTCCCTCTGTATAGCAACTATGGCATTGGTCTTACGACATGGAGTCCTCTTGCTTCAGGTGTTCTGACTGGAAAATATAATGCAGGGAACATTCCAGCGGACAGTCGATTTGCACTGGAAAATTACAAGGTAAAACCCTCAAAGTTTTACAAGAAAATCCTGTTTATTGAAAACTGTATGCTGCCATTCTAATTGGATTTCTTATATTTACTCATGGTCGTCAATAGTTCCTTGTTCATAGCTTCCTAAAAAACTAAATCGGAAATTTCTATGACCAGCTGGTTGAGTAGTTAGACTTAAAGGAAGCTCAAGTTGCAAAAGTTGATTAAGAGTTTTGGGGCTCAACTAGTTAAAATACCCTTAATCGTAAGAGAAAAGAACTTCATAAAGAGTTGCACCAATAATTGGTGAAAGTTTTCCAAGGGAACTAAATTTTTTTTCCTTTTTTTTTTGAAAAAGAGAGGAGATTTGCAAGAATTATTAAAGTTTAATGTTAGATGAACCACGCCTGGAGATCTAAGTGAATAATGGTTGCCCGACTCATTCGAATCTGCTTAGAAGAGGCTTTGCCTTGTGCTATAGATTTAATTTTTTTGATCCAACAACTATTCTCAAAAAAATCTTTGCTCCGCAACTCAGAAGATATTAATCATCTCTCTTTGCACTGACCGGTGACTATTCAACTATACAACTATTTCTTTGCGTCTCTGATGTTAATGGGACTGCCTGGACAGCTAAGGCTTGCTATTATTATTAGCTGGTTGCGGAGAAAGATGAAGAATTTTTTTTTTGTTGAGAATACTGTCTAATGCTGTCTAATTCACTATACCAGCCTACATTCTGTGGGTAATAACTATTATGGAAAGAAACGAACAGTCGTCATTTTATAGGGATGACAGTAGCTTCACGTACACTCAAATACAAATGTTTCTACTTATTTACTTTTTGTACTAACTTAAAACATGTGTACAACCTATATAGTCTTTTTGAGTTCCTCGACACTCTACAGTAATAGTAGGACTTTCATCATTTGTATTTGAGTGTACGTGAAGCTACCTTCATCCCTATAAAATGACGACTGTTTAGGACTTTCATCTTTTTTAATCTCACACATTGTACATTTCAGCACCCACATAGGTGCTAATTCATTAACACTTTGTTTACTTTTCAAAAAAATAAGGGTTGCAGTTTTTAACCACTAATACGTAATGACAGCGAAAAACTATAGTAAAGAAAGAGTGATGCTAGTACAAATATTAGACCAGGTTTAGCATCACAATAATTCCTTTTTTTTTTGTACTACATTCCATGAATAAGATGGTATTGAAGAGTTAAAGTTCTCCAAATTTAAAATGATCTGAGGATATATCAAGCAATTAGTTTTTGTGGTTTTCAACCAGCATCCCCATTTATGAAAATGGACGGTTTCTCTCTGCCAAAAGGAATTTTTGCTTCCCTTAGACATGTAGATATCAAGCAAGTAGTTCTTATTTCCTAATGTTTGTGTGCAGATATCATTGTCCTGTTTTTGTATAATCCTAATCTAGAACATCAAAGGATTTAACCTTGTCTTATGTGCTAAAACCTTGAAGTATGAGATAAAAGTCACGCTAGTCTCTAAAAAAACAAGGAATAAAAATGCTATTGGCAGGTCGCTTCAGAGATTTTTTTTATTGTTCTTTAGGAGTTGTATTTGTCAGAAGAGGTTCAAGATTTTTGAGTTGCATTCCAAATAGAGGAACACAGGTCAAATAGTGGAAAGTGAAAGTTGTCCTTGCAAATAAGATCAGATATATGCTTGTGTGGACATATCCAAACTTCATGTATTGATCTGTATGCATGTGCATACTTTGTTGTTCATGTAAACATTTTCTTTGTCAATTGTCACTCTTCTAAACTTCTCCTATTCAAGAAACATGACTAGTAATCTTATACATTGCAGAATCTTGCCAACAGATCTTTGGTGGATGATGTGTTGAGGAAAGTAGATGGATTGAAACCAATTGCTGAGTCACTAGGTGTACCTCTACCGCAACTGGCAATTGCCTGGTGTGCTGCAAATCCTAATGTCTCATCCGTTATTACTGGTGCCACCAAAGAGTATCAGGTCCGTTAGTTTTCCATTTATGCTATCCCCGAGCTTTCCCTTTCAGACAATGATTCTTTTTCTTTAGTCTTGGCCTGAATTTTGTTAGCACTCAGTTCAAGTATTGATATCTCGAACATTTTTTATTTTATTTTTTAAATTGTATTTTTTTTTCGCATGCATTTTGAACATGGCATGATATAGAGTATTTTTATTGTATGCCACGTATTGCATTTATATTTATAGTTTTTAACCAAAAGTTTCCAATTATTGCATGTTTGTCTTTCTTTTTAGTTAATCATGTTGGTCTGTTAAACCTTTCTGAACACAATTTATATTTTCTACTTTCTAGTATATATTTATTAACTGAATTCAGGCCTGATGCCCCCTCTCCAAAACAAGTTAAAAGGGAGAAAAGGAAGTCCTCTTACTTTGCTTTCTGAAATAAGTTCTCTTATTGATTTGTTTTTACTCTTAATCTCTAATTAACTTAATTTCTAGAGACATCCACGGAGAAAACGATACAATCTTCTCTTCGGATTGTTCTCTTCTAGTACTTTGATTAGCATAATCTTAACTTTGTATCATGCTGGCAGAGCAAGAATTCTTAATTTGTAACTTCCTTATGTGCTTTAACGTAGTCTCCGAAGTTGGTGACATCTCTCCCTGGATTATGATCAGCTTACCAATCTCTAATTACAATCAATTTCCTTTTACTAATAGCTTCTTCATTGTGCTAGAGAAACTAAGTTTTTATAATATTGCCGAGAGGGCTTAAATGGGCGAGATGGGCAGTGAGAATTCGTATAGCTGACCACAACTTGCTTGGGATTAAGGCGTAGTTGTTTGTTATAGATTGCTTCTTCATATTAATCATTACATATTCATTAATGCAGATTGAAGAGAACATGAAAGCTATCAATGTCATTCCAATGTTAACACCTGCTGTGATGGAGAAGATTGAGGCTGTTGTTCAAAGCAAACCAAAGCGCCAAGATTCGTATAGGTAGATAAATTTTAAGATCCATTAGGTCTTAAGAGCACTACTATTTCCAGAATGAGTTTTCCTTGCGATGTATTTTGCAACTCCTATTGCTTGTCTTATGTTAAGTACATTAAGAGTTGGTGTTGTTTCTGAACCAACCTTTGATTTTGGTGAATTTTCTACTTTTCTTTGGGTGGATGAGATGTTGGCTTTCAGAGTTGGAATGAATATTGTCTTTAGTCTCTGCTTGTGAGTAGAGACTAACATACTTCTCAAATTGTTTATGTTTATCCTGTGACTTATAATGGTTACGTTTCTTCTAGATTACCTATTAAAGTTTAATGTAAAATTTTACTTCTATTGAGCTCTAGGTGATATGAAGGGCAGCCTGGTGCACTAAGCTCCCGCTATGTGCGCGGTCCGGGAAAGGGCCAGACCACAAGGATCTATTTTATGCAGTCTTACCCGGTATTTCTTCAAGAGGCTGTTTTCACGACTCGGACCCGTGACCTCCCAGATAAATTTAGACTCAGCAATTGGTTTAAGAACTGAGTATTTGTCGTTTCCAGTAAACCTCCAAGTTGAACTTTGGCTTGTTCTCAAACAAAATATTTGGTCTGAAAAACGGACTTCGAAATTTAGGAATTAAATCAAAATGTTTCCAGATAACAATAACTTAAGTTTTCACAAAATCTAACCACAAATTTCTCCAGATAAATCTTTTTCTTCTAAATTGTTCTATAATTAATCCAAAACCAAATTTGTTTCAAAAGAATTTTCATAAAAAGAACCCATAAAACCAGCACGTTGTTTTCAGAAAACCGGATTAGTATTCTTTTATCTTTAGATTGTGATGCCAAAAGCATCACATGAATTCACATCAAATGGTGCTGAGGGTACTGTATTACAGTTCCAACTTCCATGTCAAGAGAGCATATTTTATTTGGAAATCCATATAGAGGGAAATGGACAAGCAGCTGAATTTTGAGGAAAATCTCATCATTTCATGCCTTCTTTAAACGTAGTGGAAACAGATCAAGTGAAGACTAACCTCCATCATGAGGAAAAATACATAACAGCGCCATTAAAGAACAATGGGAAGAAAGGGCAACCCAGTGCACTAAGCTCTCGCTATGCTCGGGGTCCGGGGAAGGGCCGGACCACATGAGTCTATTGTATGCAGCCTTATCCTGTATTTCTGCAAGAGGTTGTTTCCACGGCTTGAACCCGTGACCTCCTGGTCACAAGGCATCAACTTTAAAAGTTACGCCAAGGCTCCCCTTCTAAAAGAATAACGGGAAGAGGGACAGCAAATTGACTTTGCATTGATCAGAGAGCTTAACCATGAATAAGGTTAGTTATCTACATAGTGAATTTACAAGAGGTAAAAGGATAAGTGTTGATAATGCATGGTCTACCTTGGCATTAAAGCCAGAATTTGGCTTCTGATGATTCCCATGCTCGTCTGTATTTCAGCATAGACTGGAAAGTTTTGCGAGCAAATGGGTTGCAAGCTTGTTACAGCAGAATCAAGCACTTTTGCCACATCAGCGGGTGGAAACTGTCATTCGGTACACTTCTGCAATAATATACAATAGATAAACAAGTAATGTCAAGCATAAAGAAGGAAAATCCAGAGGTATTGTTGGGAATTGCAGAATGCCCACAGAAATATTCACATTAAGAAGGGACCTATATTTTTAGGTGGAAGACCTTCTAAGCCAAGCGGGAAACCAACGGCCTTGAAGGAGCAAAAAAATCACTACATGAGATCAGATACACTCAACACTCGAGTATCACAAAGTTCTCGAGGCCAATACACGCAAAAGTTTTGAACTTTCCTCACAAAAGAACATATGCGTTTCTTTCGGTGAAGTGGGGTGATAGCAAATGAAGAGGACCAAATCTCAAACTTGGTATCTTCTTTTTTCTTGTTTGAAAATATTTGTTAGGTAGAGCTAGATTTGGTTTGCTATTAGATGCGTTTGTGTTTTCACACTGCAGGTAGGAACGGTATAAGCAAAGTGAATGTGTCTTTGTCTCTCTTCCCTTATAAAGTTATTCAAATTCATAATACATTGTCTACTAGATTGATAAAGATTAAAATTGTTATCAAAAATATTGAAAAGAACGAGAAGCATCTTCTGGAGGTTATAAAGCATTTTATGTCATGCAAAAGCAACCCAACACTGAAATCCGAATTCCAGCAAAGGACAGAAAGTGATCGGTAATTGTTAGACCTGTTGTTACTAGGGTCTATAACCGCAGAAAAAAGGGTAAAAATAAGGCTTAAATGTAATTGTTTTATTTATTTATAATTATGTATCTGTTTTGGTAGTAGTTACCTAGCAGTTAACTAGCAGTTCGGACAGTTTATATTATACTAGGAAGAAAGGAAGACATGCAGTTTATTCTGTAATATTTTCTCTGGCAGATTTGGAGGTTAAGGTTCCTCAAAATACCTTGGTTGTTAGGTGTATTAATGTTCTAATTGTTGTTTGTTTCTCTGTCGAACTTATTCTGTTTGTTGGTAGCAATAAAGAATAGTTGAAGTGTTGTTCTGTATTGCAAATTCACTGATTACAGTTAGGAGAAATTCTGGTTTCCTAACATTTTTGGTATCATAGTCTTCATGGTTTCAACCACAATGGAAGGACGAATTGAAGGGTTAGAGAAAACAATGAATGAAGTACAAGAGGAGATTGGGTCAGTACGGGATTACCTAGGCCAGTTACGGGAGTGGATGCAGAAAAAGGATGAACATGATGCTGAAATTCTTCAACATATGAAGGGAAATCCCAAAAATCAAGCAGATCCAACTAAAGAGGCAGAAATAATGGCAGAAAATAGCGGCAATCAGGGAGGCGATGGACAACGTGAGGGGGTTCAACCACAATTTCGTGATGAAACACGTCCTAGAAGGCTAGAATTACCCTTATTCTCTGGTGATAATCCATATGGGTGGCTTAATAGAGCAGAGCGTTATTTCCATTTCAATGGCATTGATGACAAGGATAAATTGGAGGTTGCTGCTGTTTGTCTTGAAGGAAGAGCCTTAAATTGGTTCCAGTGGCGGGAGACAAGAATTCCAGTTGTCACATGGGATGTGTTTCGAGTAGCCATACTCCAACGATATACTCCATCACAGTTGGGGAGCTTATACGAAGTTTTGATAGGGTTGCAACAAACTGGAAGCGTGGCCCAATACAGAGAAGATTTTGAACTACTCTCAGCACCCTTGAAAGATGCCGACGATGAGGTTTTGATGGGAATATTTATCAATGATGTTACACCTTGTGTATTCGGCGTTATCATGATGTAAATGGGATAATTCGAGAGGAAGATAATTTCTATGAGATATTTAAATGATGCGATAGTTATACGTTAAGATTGGAAGTCATTTGAGTTGTGATTAAATATTCGACAAAGATCGCGCGTAAGTTACGGGTTTAAATTTCACTGGAATTTGGATAAAATGTTGATGAGCGTTTCTCTCAATATACTGGGAGTTATGGTGTGTTCTACCTACTGAATCGAAGGTCTATGAGTTTAGTTTCCAACGCAATAAATGGTTCGTTAATAAGACTTCGGAGTAGAGAGATATTAACATTTTCGTATAGGGGTGCACACTGTTACGGGAACAGTGTGCCTAGTCG